GCCGACCAGTCAAGGGTCGCCGACGGTCGGGTTGTGCAACACCGCACAAAATATTATAGAGGTATGTGTAGTACATGCAGATCCCAATACTATCCACTTCTACATTTCCTTGAACTTCCCTCGTAGCTCTTACAAGGGGCCTTGCTCCATTACTCTCCACATGCAGGAACGACAAAAATTATGGCGGTGTATCTTCCCTTGTTCTAGCGGAGGATTCATGCTCATTTTGCACATTTGGCGAGTAGTGGAACGAGGCCCAAGGAGACGAAGAGAATGACAGGTGCTGTTACAAGGAGATGAATAGAGTGACAAATGACCAATGCAAGTTACCTGCCAGATAAGGAGATAAAGCCGATGGTTAGACCTTGGAAGCTCACAGCAGAGGAAATGGGGCACTTCATTCCAGCACATTCGCGCAAAAAGTGGCAAAATACATTGCTGTCAGGCTGCACCCTTGGCTCTCATTCTCCCTGTACGGTTCTTAGAAGCATTGACGGTCAGCTTAAACTGACCTGTCCAAGAACTGACCAATTACAGCCTCATTTACCCAATGATCCTTCGAGTGGGGGGGTGAAACCCTTGTTGATCAGCCACATTGAAGCTACTAGCGCTCCAGCAAAAGCGCCAAGGAGCTAACCCCGCTTTGTGCATCCCTAGCCCCAAGGATATCGCAACCTGCCAGACAAGCTGATCAAAAACAACAGCATGCCATAACCCTGCTCACAAGAGACAATGGCCCCATGGTAGACAAAGCCCAACCATCAGACACACACAAAATAAGTCACTTGATCATTATCACCTCAAATGATCACAGCAGTAGTGTCCCACCAAAACTCTCAACACATGCATTACCAGGACACTTCTGTTTACGTCCCCAGAGCCCCTAGTTCAGAGGCACGCCCCTCCAAAATACATGTATGTCTAGGCTTTGAAATCCAACACATGATATCCTAAACTCTCAACACACGCATTACAAGGACACTTCTGTTGACTTCCCCCAGAGCCCCTAGTCTAGAGGCAGGCCCTTCCAAAATACATGTATGTCTAGGCTTTGGAATCCAACACATGATATCCTAAACGGGTCTTTGTCATCACATCGCACCTGTGAGATTACCCGATGAAGACCTTGGTCAAGTCCAGTGGGGTCTCCCCGGGCAGCCCCTACTTTCCCATCAGTCCTAGCCAGTCTCTTAGTGGGTCTTTATCTGGAGAGAGACGCAACAGCCTTGAAATGCCATGGTCAAGCACTGGCTCGCCCCAGATTTCTGGAACTGTTACCGGGTCAGCTTTCAGTTTTGCAGGAACCCACCATACCACCGTTCCGTGGGACCACTCTACTGTAAACTCGGCCCACCGTTACTATGGTGCAGGGTGGATTTGCTAAAGATAGAATGTCCCACCTTTGCAGGGATCCGAAGTCTGGAACCCGCATCACCCCGCTGCAGCTCAAGCGGTGAACCGCGATCTACCAAGCTGGCCTTAAAAGACCACTCCCTAAGTCTGCATCCGCTTGTCATTCCAATTGACAAACCATCAAACACAGCCTCCATCACACTGAGTGGAAAGAAGGGCCTGGCGAGGAGTTTTTGTGCTCTGTTTTCGATTCCCCATTGTGCTGTGCCGATGTGCTCTCTGTTTTCTATTGCCCATTGCATCCCTCACAATGTGCAACTTGTTACTTGACACGATAGTTCTGCCATCCTGGTTTTTTTCCCTGGAGTTTTTTCCCATCAGACAGCACCTCCAAGCTCAGACCATCAAACCCATTCCCCCTTTCCATGGCACTTGCCACCTCGTCGATCTCAACCAGTGGAGGGTTGCCACCCCCCCCACCCCACCGAGAACCCCTTCACCACTGGGGCCAAGGTGACAAATGAGGAAGAGAGGAATGTCAGGCCTGATGTTATGGGACACACTGGAATGAAGAAAACAAGACAGTGCTTGGCCAGGGTCCCACAATATTAAAACAGATGCAGAACGGCCGATCTTAAGGACAGACCTCACCCTAAAACTCCCTGCACCTCCCAGCAATTGCAAACTGCCGCCTCCTGGTGCCACCTACACAATCAGACCCATAGGACATACTTCTGGCCCTATCCTGCCCTTCAGCCATTCAACCCTGCACTAGTGCCAAAAAGCCCATCATCCAAGCCATCCAGATTCATGGCACGACAGTCATTGATCCCATCCTTTCGCCATCTGGTACTGCATAAGGTAGTTTCTAATCCACATGTCATCCCACGTCAACCAGTTGGGCTATACAACTATCATCCCGTCCCATATTGGTGTTATCCGATACTTTATCCCCACACTCGGCAAACGCCACCTCACCTGCCGGTACAACTCTTGACCCCTTCATTGTTGTCCCAAGCTCTCCTGCATCTCTCAGTCAAATGTTGCCACACCACTCAGCAAATCATCTTCCATCATTCCCATGGCCTTGCAAGTCCATTTGCATACATGGCATGCAGCACTAGAGCACCGTGCATCAACCCATTTCGATTTAGTTTCACATCGAACTGCCATGTAAGCCCGGACATGAGGAGCCTGAATAAGGGTAGAGGCGGCAGCACATTTCACGGCTCGACATGTATTTAGCATTCCGGTTCGGCTGCTTTTCCTCTCAGATTTCCACTGCCAATTTCCCAGTAAAAGATTGCAACATAGACTCCCCTTCCTGGTGGCAGCTCCTATCAATACTCAGACCACTCACCCCAGGAGAATTTTCTTGACTTCTCCTCAGGGAGTTTTTATTGCCTCTACTGTTATCCGAAGCCCTGCTTCACCTAATCCCCTCCTAACATTGTGGGATACACTCAGGGAGTACTCGAACCCCACCCTTTTTCTGCCTGATTTGCAGGGCTTAGGGAGTCGAGCAGTCACACTACAAGGCAGTAATAAAGCAAAGCTGCAAGACTGCTTCACCCCTCAATTTGCTCCTTCGAACATACTCCCACCTCAGCCTTTCATCTCTCCAATTAGCAGGGTTGCTGGAAGGGGGGAAAAGGGGAAACCACCGACGGGCCTAGCTCGGTCATTACGGGAATGAATTGTTGAAATACAGACCTGAGTTTGAATCAAAATGGAACTAGATGAATGGAATTGTTGAATTATCCGGGGCGAGTCTGATCCAATGACATATCAAGGCGATCGCCCCTTTAAAGAAAAAAAAAGAAAGAAGGGGAAAGGTGTCCTTCAGGGCCACCGCACAAGGATGAAATACGTAAATCAAGAAATGGTCCAGTTTCTGAAGGGAAAAACCAAAGAAAAAGGAGAAAGGGACATCCTGGAGTCCTGCAGTCATGCTACTGGGCAGTTGAAAATGCAACAACCCTTCAAGACTGCTTCAACCATCAATTTCCTCCTCAGGGAAGCCGCACAGTATCAGCCTCGTCTGCTTGGGAACTCGGAGACTTTTTCTTTTTTATCCGCGCTCCTCCCTTTTTCCGGAATATTGTACGTATGCCTTCTCTAAGGTCTGTAAAGTACATCCCTGATGAAAGTCGTCCCTTCCATGGTTAGGCAGGCTGCTGACATTTGAGGAGATCAAAGAAGTGGTCGAGGGGGAGTGTGGTCAATGCACAACCACTGTAACCCCTCAAAACGTTGGATGGGAAAAGGGGAAGGGAGATTACGCCATGAAACTACATCCACAATGAACGCCCGATGCTCATGTCTTCAAGTCCACAGCAACAGCTGCAGTACAGCAACATTCCTTACAACCTCCAAAACACAGTCCCACGAATGGACGTCATTATTCTTCATGCAGAATGATACTGCCAACAAGCCCAACATCTAAATCTAAACCTTGCCTTGTCAATCAGGGTCTCGGGCTGACCGGTTTGCTTATGACAGGTTCTCCACGGAGCAACTGAAGGGAAAATAAGTCAGAATATCCGTCACTCCTTACGAAGGACAAAAGTGGACCGCATGCAACACCGCCCCCTGGGGCCAAAGGGAAACCAGTCGTGCAACCCAATAGGTAGCATGCAGATCCCGGCAGGACAAGCGTGTTGCACGGATTTGTCATGCGCGCGGGAGGGTCATGGTTTTTGTACATCCCTCTGTACAATGAAAGCAAGAAAAGAAAATCCATAATCCAATAACTTATCCACTGAGCCCCCCAACTCTCGAAGGACATCCTCAGCCAGTGTCAACGCTTCAGCAGATGTACCAGACAGATGCGCAATCTCCCATCTTTATCAGTGTCAATGCTGGGCTCATTGTGGATACCGAACCCCATTTTTACCAAACTTGTCTCTCAGCTCAAGCAGCCACAATAAGATCACATCACACCACACTACACTGCCTAAAACCATGGCAGAAGGAATTCAGCACCAATAGCAGACAAGGTTCTGAATATCAAGATTGTAATCATGTGTGTGCCTCTACGCATCTGCAAATGAAGGCATTGAGCAAGAGAGAACTTATGCATGTATGATGTTTCTGTGGGACATAGCCACTTTCCCGACATACCGCCAAAACGTAACACCCCTTTTTTCATAAGGGGATCTGCAGGCCCATTAGTGCAGTCATAAAACGTGCAAGGCCACAATTTTGCACTTGACCCACATTTCCCTCCAGGAGAAAAGGGCAGACCCAAAGGGAAAAAGAAAGGACCAGGAAGGTAAGAGAGAAAATAAGAGAATAAAACAGGAAAAACAAAAGGAAACGGAAGGTAAAAAGACACTAGTCTTTTTTCTTTGTATTACAGAAAGGGCGACGGCCTTGAGATATCATCATGGAACCGACCGACCCTAGGTAACTCAGAATTGTAGTATTTCACTCAGAAAACAGGAAAAACAAAAGGAAACGGAAGGTAAAAAGACACTAGTCTTTTTTTCTTTGTATTACAGAAAGGGCGACGGCCTTGAGATATCATCATGGAACCGACCGACCCTAGGTAACTCAGAATTGTAGTATTTTACTCGTCTGTTTCCTTTCGAGTTTGAACTCAGGTCTGTATTTCAACAGTTCCGAGGTGTACCAACTGAGCTAGGCCAGTTGGTGAGGCAGTAGTTTGCACCTCCTGCAGTGATGCAATTTCAATTGTGCAACAGGATTTCAGCAATACATCACCGCCAATAAATGTCTGAGCTGTCTCTTATACACATCTAGATGTGTATAAGAGACAGCAGCAATACATTATTGCCAATTAAGGTGTCCGTCCTCGAAAGTAAGAGAGCCAGGGCTTATTAGACTATTTCTTCCTTGCATCAGCACTAAACCAGGCACGAAGCACCGTGCCATCCAAAACTCCGCAAAGCATTTGGCTCCTAGAGTATCCTTCCATTAAAACTGAAAAAAGAAAAAAGAAAAACTTGCCGCCATTTTTAAACAATTTTTCACATTTGACGAATAATGGAGCGAGTCCCAAGGTGTCTGCTTGGGGCGCTACCACAATGCCCAGGCCATGAGGTGCCGCCATTTTTGAATGATTTTTCACATTTGACGAATAATGGAGCGAGGCCCAAGGCTGTCTCTTATACACATCTAGATGTGTATAAGAGACAGGGCCCAAGGTGTCTGCTTGGGGCGCTACCACAATGCCCAGGCCACGAGGTGCTGCCATTTTTGAATGATTTTTCACATTTGACGAATAATGGAGCGAGGCCCAAGGTGTCTGCGCTTGG